TTGATTGATTGGACCAGTGTGAGAGTTGATTGATTGGACCAGTGTGAGAGTTGATTGATTGGACCAGTGTGAGAGTTGATTGATTGGACCAGTGTGAGAGTTGATTGATTGGACCAGTGTGAGAGTTGATTGATTGGACCAGTGTGAGAGTTGATTGATTGGACCAGTGTGAGAGTTGATTGATTGGACCAGTGTGAGAGTTGATTGATTGGACCAGTATGAGAGTTGATTGATTGGACCAGTGTGAGAGTTGATTGATTGGACCAGTGTGAGAGTAATGTGTTTGGCAAGACGACGAACATTTTTTTTCAAATGTCCGTTGAAACAACTGTATGTATTATACAGCATATGAGTTTTTTGGTTGAATTGTTGAAAGGATAACATATTTTCATGGTTGGATTGTTAAGGATAACATATGTTCTCAGTTAGAGTGTTAATGATAACATATTTTCACTGTTGGAGTATTTAGGATAACATATTTTCATAGATTGTTAAGGATAACATTTTGCCATAGTTATATTGTTAAAGATAACATATTTTGACTATTGGATTAAGGATAAAATATTTCCATAGTTAGATTATTAAGGATAACATATTTCCATAGTTGATTGTTACATATTTTCACAGAATGATTTTCTTGTTTCAGATTTGTATTGGCTTTCAAGGCCAATGATTAATTGCTTTTTATCTTTTTTTTTTTTAAATTTAGTTTCAAAGTTAAGGGTATTAACACAATGAAATTCTGAGATTTGCGATATCAGGGTACTTTTGTCACTCAGTGTTAAATGCGTTGTGTTAAATGCAATGTGTTAAATGTGTTGATCTACTTTCATTCCTTGTACATAAAACTATTTTATAAAATGTAATATTTATTTGCCGGATTCTGTCATGGAATAAGTAACTCGAGCAATAAAAAAACTATCAATTTTGCTAAAGAGCTTTGAGTTGTTGTTGTTGTTGGTGATGGTGGTGGTGTTGGTGTTCTTGTTGTTTTCTTTGTCTCGTTGTGAGGGGATGTAGCACAAGATCTCTAAAGTACTGAACGAAATCGGATGAACCATAACACAAGGGAGGAGCTAGAGTTTATGATGCACGAGGGTGTCCTTGACCTTGCCGCCCCTATGTGACTAAACCAGAATACATACAAGAAAGGCATACAATAAATGAAATAACATACACTAAAATGGACCGAGACTATGGCCTCCCCAAAAAGGTGAGAACCCAACCAAAGCATAACCGTCTCTTCCTCAGCCAATGGCTACATGGGGATGAGAGAAACGTGTTCACGTGAATACCTGATCGAACTCCAAGTCGTTTGATTTGGGAAGGGCATATTCTTGAATCGGAAGATTACCATCCTGGTCACAGAGTTGTCTTAGCCTTACATTTTACTTTAAATGGGGGTCATTTGAACTTATTGTGCACTTGGAATATGTGTCATTTGAACTTATTGTGCACTTGGAATATGTGTCATTTGAACTTATAGTGCACTGGGAATATGTGTCATTTGAGCTTACTGTGCACTGGGAATCTGTGTTATTTGAACTTATTGTGCACTTGGAATATGTGTCATTTGAGCTTATTGTGCACTGGGAATCTGTGTCATTTGAACTTATTGTGCACTTGGAATATGTGTCATTTGAACTTGTACTCTAGGAATCTTAGTCATTGCAACTTATGGTGCTCTTGGGATCTGTGCAAAATGAAGTTACTGTGCACTGGAAATCTGAGATCTTTTAAACAATTAATAATAGTGCAGCCTTAAACTTAATTAATTTTCAGAATAATTTCTCAATAAACTTGGCTGCAAGGTGCTACTCAATGTTCCCTTTAAGGTGCGAGGCTGCGCTTCCGCGCAGCTATCTCAAAGACGCCGCGCAGCAGTTTTGAGAATCCGCGCAGCAAATTTCCATGTAAATGTGTAATTGTGTTTGTGGGTTGTAAAATTTTGCACACACAAAAATTGGTGCTGTAAAACTTTGCACACAACTGTAGGATTTTGCACACAAAGCAGCAAACCTTAGAGGGAACATTGGTGCTCTCAACTCTCATACTGTGTTTCAATGACAAGGGCGCACTTCGAAATAAACGTATGGCATTAATTTATGTACTTGACATAAATACACCAAACTCTGCCATGTAAACAAAATAAAACTCCTCTTTAAAACGCCTCTGCCAAGAGAGTTTATATTTAGAAGATCGAGGTGGATTTTGTTTCGTTTTGTTACAGAAGGTTTGGGTCAAAGATTTTAAACGTTTTTAGATCCTTGGGCGATTTTTTTTTTTTTTTGTGTGTGTATTTTGCAACGAGTTAAAACATGTCTATGTACGTCACATCCTGCTTGTGTTGAAGGCGTTTAATGGCGCCTTCCCGGGGGGGGGGGGGNTGAGTTTCGAAGAATGTGTGGAGTGTGTGAGCGGTGGGGGTGGGGGGCGGCGGGAGGAGAGAATTCATGTGCAAAGAAGGGGGGGGGGGGACAGATCGTGAATGTTTAAATAATGAATGAGTAGTATCCCCTGCACATATCGTTTACCTCCCTGCGTGTCGCGACAGGGTGAACTACTTCTAGCGTGCGCCGTTTTTAATTGCTGTCTAATGGAGGAAGAAAATGGAACGCTGTTGTTATTTCTTTCTGAAACACGACAGAGAGCTTTTATCACCTGGCTCCAAGAAGACCAGATAGCGTTGAATTTTATTTATTTTTTAAGTGTTGGGTTGGGGGGGGGGGTAAAGATTGGCCCCAGGTAAAAGAACTTCATCGTTTTAAAAGAACTCCATCGGTTTAAAAGAACTTCATCAGTTTAAAAGAACTTAATCGGTTTAAAAGAACTTCATCGTTTTAAAAGAACTTCATCGGTTTTGTACTAGGGTCAAAGTGTTGGTACCGGAATCGTGAGAGGGGTTCAAAGGTTTGGCGAATAATGAGTGGGGAGGGTTTGCACGAATAATGAGTGGGGAAGGTTTGCACGAATAATGAGTGGGGAAGGTTTGCACGAATAATGAGAGGGGAAGGTTTGTACGAATAATGATTGGGGAGGGTTTGCACGAATAATGAGAGGAGAGGGTCTGCACGAATAATGAGTGGGGAGGGTTTGGTCGATTAATGTAAATTTGAAATATGTAAGTCTTGCATGTGCAAACTTCGGCTCATGCTCTACAACCAGCCCATGTCGTACCCTTTTTCTCGGGAATATTCTCAAATTATAATACTGTGATGCACTAAATACCTTTATGACCATCTTTATAAAGGAGTTTTCTCGACGGCTCAGTTGACGTGAGATTTTTTTTAAAGGTGGCGCTGAGATTTTTTTTAACACACAAAAAACGGGGTGGGTGTAAACTGCCTCTCATAATATCTCTAGCTGCCTCTTGATGGCGCTAGCCAAGCCAGTGTACACTGTCTCTCATAATATCTCTAGCTGCCTCTTGATGGCGCTAGCCAAGCCAGTGTAGACTGTCTCTCATAATATCTCTAGCTGCCTCTTGATGGCGCTATCCAAGCCAGTGTAGACTGCCTCTCATAATATCTCTAGCTGCCTCTTGATGGCGCTAGCCAAGCCAGTGTAGACTGTCTCTCATAATATCTCTAGCTGCCTCTTGATGGCGCTAGCCAAGCCAGTGTAGACTGTCTCTCATAATATCTCTAGCTGCCTCTTGATGGCGCTAGCCAAGCCAGTGTAGACTGTCTCTCATAATATCTCTAGCTGCCTCTTGATGGCGCTAGCCAAGCCAGTGTAGACTGTCTCTCATAATATCTCTAGCTGCCTCTTGATGGCGCTAGCCAAGCCAGTGTA